TTCTGGAAATGTTAAAACTTCACCATCTCAGCTGTGTGAGCAGAGACAGCAGTCCAACACCTTTGAGACATGTTCTGGTTTTTTATTTTATCTATATCAACATTTTCAGGACATCAGCTTGCAAAAAAACCAACTTAAACCAGGGGAAAGAGTTTCCTTTAAAATTTGATTAATGCAATATGAAAGTTCAAACAAAACCAGTTCTGAGTCTTTGTGGCAGTTAAAAGAATTTACTCACATAGCTAGGTTATCAGGACCTACACTGTATTCCATTTAATAAATACAGAGTAAAAAGAAATCTTTCTACTCCTGTATATCCTCTTAAACCTTTCTAGGCTCCCACTTGGAAACCTAACAATTTGATTCCCTTAGCATCATCATCTTCTATTTACTTAAGTGTCATAAAAATTACCCTATTTTCCATGTGAATTGTTAAAGCTGACCAAGAGTGATTTACATAATGAGAAAGGAATAAAATTCTGAGAGAAAATTAAAATACCCTTTTTTGCTGAAAGGGTAGTAAGATCTCACAAAAACATTAACCGACTAAGAAACAAAATGTTTTGTCTTTATCCAATGACTATTCCAATGCCCAAAATTTTAACTCCATCAGCACATCGTAAATAATGTAACAAACAACTAGAATATTTAGTTACTAAATAAATACAAGTGGGTGCATCTGTTGCTCAATAGTGTTAACTGTTGGCACCTCAATAGCATGCCAAGGCAGGAAAGTATTTTCTTGGACAGAACAGAAGAGATTGACCTCAGGCTACTCTTTTTTTTTTTTTTTTTTTTTTTTTAAATTTTTTTTTTTGAAACACTATCCCAGGTGCCCATTACAGTCCAACAGGATTTTTAACAAGTATAGTGTCACTGAAATGTTAAAACAACAGGGGGTAGAAACTTTCTACTGTAGTTTCAATGAATATATCAACTTTCCATTTCCACTGGCAATGGATTAATATTTAAGAATAGCTTTGAAATGACTGAGATTGTAAAAAAATTTAACAGATACGTTACAAGAAAAATGCCGAATTATGCTAGAAGCTTTCAAAAATTTCTTTTGCTGGATAATTTAGCATTGAATCATATATACAAAAAAAATACAATGCATTAAGTCATGTAATTGGTAGCAAAAATATGTGACCCTAGAACATTTTGTGGTACAGTCTGTTAAAGAGGTGTTCTAGAAATTACTTTGAACAGGTTAACACTTAGAACCAAAATCCTGACACCCACTAGAGTTCCTAAACAAACATCCATCAGCCAGTGAAGTAATGATTACCTTTCATTCTGTCTTCTGCCTCTTGCCCTTTTCAGATTGATAGGTACAAATAAAACTGTACATCCAATATTTTATTCTGCATCTCAGTGCTTTCATCTCCATAATGATATACAATTTGCTAGCTAGCATGTACGTGCCTACTGCTGAACTTGCTAAATTAGCAGGTTTCTCCAAAAAGAGACCACAGCTCAACAGTCATCTGCCACCCGTAATAACTAATAGGCAATTCACATGATGTTTTGGGAGAAAGTCAGCTGAAGGCAACGAAAACTACCTACGACAAGGCAACAACCAGCTGTATATCAAATAACTCATAAGGATAAGGCACATTTTACACTATGAAAGGTAACAGCAAGGCACTTCAGTGCTTACAGCAATATAGCAATTGGGTGCAATCCCTCAAAGTGATGGGAGGCAACAGCCTCCTGCTTTCCCGTTTGCACTGACCTCAGAGGTCCCTCTGCCCCAGACAACATCTCCCTCCTCACTTCTAAATTAATAGTTAGGTTAATTTTCCATATATATATATATATATATATATATATAAAAAACACACACACATACAATTTTTCAATAGTCGGGTGTGCAATTTTTCATGCTTGTTGTGCCACACACTATTACAACTGTTTACAGATGTAACTATACAAAATTTTTGTATGAAACATGTACATGCTAAAATATACACATCTTAAAACATCATAAAACAGAAATCAAAAAGTTGAGGCATAGGGACACAACAATTCTTGACTGAATCAAGAGGTTTTCACTTAGATACTACAAGCCAGAGCAGACAGCATGGACAAAATTGTGATTTTTTTGAACTTCCTACTGTTTTACGAGACATTTACTAATTTCAGGACATGTCAGTGTAAATAACTACCATGACAGTTGCAGAGCAGAATGTGTGTCTACCACGACAGAATCTGGGTCAAAGCAGCACTGCTATAAAATTACCCACATTATCTTGTGCCAGAGGAAACACTGAAAAGAGAACAGCCTAGCAAGCAGCTGTTAGACCAAAAATATCCTTAATTGTATTTATTCCAAAAATACTTGCTTTTGGACATTATCCTTTGGCTCCTCTATCCCCAATTCGAAAGGAAATTTCCTAAGTAGTCTATATTTTTCTTGTTTAATCACCACTGCCCTAATATGAATGAGATCTATTATAGTGGCACAGAAAATACAAGCTAATGATATATTAAATATTTAAACATTTTATCCTTAAAAGGTTACCCAGAAAAATCATTTTGTTATGCTGAAGTTTATGTTTACTTAAAAACTATATAGTCTGAAACACAAAATAAAAAGAGTTCTCCTTATCAGGAAAAAACACATTTTTTTTCATTTGATGCCCCTTCAGCAGTATCAAGTTTTATTAAAACGTAATTACAAACTGCACATAAGCTGTTATAGTATGGAAAAGAATACATGTAGTTACCAGATCAGGAAGGGGAATGCAAATCTTGAAACAACTATAGGGTTATTATAGGACTAAATCCACTGAAATCTAAAAATGTGATCCAACCTCCTGTGCATGTGTGTGTCATGCTTTATGGAAGATTATTTTTAACATGCAAATGCCTATAGATGTATTATCCTCTCTCTAGTAACTAAATTGCATCTCAGTGCAAAATTTTAGAGTCTTAAAGAGGGGGGGGAAAAAAAGAAACCATTTACAAGCTGACAATAAAACTGTGTTTTCAAGTCTCCTAGCTGCCAGTGTGGCCAATCAACACAGCATATCATCCATAAAGTTCAATCCAGATGCAGATTTTTATACTTAATCTTATTAAGACTGTCAAAATTTGCAAACTGATAGCCACTAACGAAATCTGAAATGGAGTCTGAATTCCACAGTGATTTCATTAATTCACATGCTATTATATGGCTATACATATGAGTACTTTATACAGACACCATAAACACATGGCAGATAAATTTAAGTGAACTGTCTTAAAGCAGACATTTAAATAACTGCAACAACGGATTTTTGCAGTAAGTCAAATGACAAAAAATGAACAAGCATGTGGGCATATGTGCTGGGTTTGTGTGGTGGGTTTTTGGCAGCAGGGGATGGGGCTCCAGAGGCGGCTCCTGTGAGATGCTTCTCGAAGCTCCCCCAGCTCCAAGTCGGACCTGCCTCTGGCCAAAACCGAGCCAATTAGCGATGGTGGCTGCACCTCTGCGACGACGTATTTAAGAAGGGGAACATGGGAGGGATGGGGACTTGTGAGGAGGAGTTGCAAGGAGAACACCCATCTGAACACACAGGTCTGTGGAAGGAAGGAAGAGGAAGGGGGGGGAGGTGTGCCAGGGCAGAATATCCCCATATCCCATGATGAGATGTCAGGGCCACTTCCCCTCCACCCACAGAGGTCACTCATGGAGCAGAGATTCACCTGCGGCCTGTGGAGCACCCCACACCAGAATAGGCAGCTGTGCCCAAGGGATGCCAAGACTCCATGGGAAGAAGCAGCACCCACTGTTGTATTTCAGCACTGGGACGATGGCAACACACAGGGGTGACCCACGCCAGAGTAGCAGAGGAACGGCTGCATCCCATGTGAAGAACTCACACTAGAGAAAGTTCATGGAGGACTTTCTCCTGGGGGAGAGGGGACCACGTGGAGCAGGCAAAGTATGCAAGGAGTGCATGCACACCCCCCTCCCACCCCTGCAGAAAGAAGCAGTAGGACTGACTGCAACCCCCCTTCCCCACCCCCTGCACTGCTGGGGGGAGGAGGTAGAGAGATCAGGAACAACTTGAGCCTGGGAAGCAGTGAGGGATGGGGGGAGGTGTTTTTAAGATGTTGTAATGCTGCTCACTGTCCTACTCTGTTAAGTGTTGCAGTTGTTAGTGTCTGAATTAGTGATGTTCTTTTTTTTCTACCCCTAATGAGTCTGTCTTTTGTCCATAACCCATAATGGGTGAGTCACCCCTCTCTGTCCTTACCTCAATAACTGAGTATTTTGCTTTATTTTCTCCCCATTTCTGAGGGGGAAGGGGTGAGAAAACAGCATCATGGTGGTCAGCTGCCCTCTGCGTTCAAACCATGACAGCATATACGCATATATAGACACACTCCCTACATATGCATGCATATCAGCTCTTGAAGCAATCCTTAGAAATATTTCATATGGCTCAGACTTAGGATCATTTTCTTACCATTAAGTCTCAATAGGTTTAAGAATCTCACTAGGGACACCAACCGGATTATTTTTTTGTCCAGGAGACAGGAGTTTTATAGCACGTTTGAAAACTTGGATGGAAAAAAGAAACCTGCTGTGCCTAATCTTGGGGGATAGGAGGTGACAGCCACAAATAACAGTCAGCACTTTCCGAGCCTGAAGAATCTTACATTTACATATAGTCTGAAAAGCCTGAACCTGAATTTTGACCACAGGCCACAACACTAATCTATGAAAGCCTCTTTCAAAGCCATTAACTTTTCCCTCTGTTTAAAGGCTAGGATGGAATTGACACTTAGAATATAGCAGTGTTAGCTATCCACACTGATTTATAAACACAAAAAAATTCCAAGATTGCTATTTTGTCTCAATTGTAGTGACCTGTACCAGGAATCTACAGCCTGGTAAAATGAACTTTAAAAGGCCAAACAAAGTAAAGCTCTACCATCTTTCCAAAGAAAATAAATTTTATTTATTTAGAAATAAATTAAAAGGAGGACAAAAAGTACAGTACACTCACCAGACGTGTATTAACAACAGGAAAAAGCAATGCCAAGAGGGCCCCATTCAGCATATGCATCTGCAACCTTAAAAAAAAGAGATGTGATATTATTTTCACAGATGGAAATAAAACACAACATTTTCACATGTTTTATGTAGTATCTCTTCAATAAAAGGTACCCAGAGATTTAAGAAAATTCTTTTGACTAGAATTTTAATAAAGTCACTGTTAAATAAAATAACCACTGTGTTACCTAAAATAAAGACTCTTGAAACAAAGATTAGACAGGAGATATTGTTTTATTCTGCACAAGGTGCTAGGTGGGAAACATCCACAAATTAAGCACGCCATACAAAAGAATTTCAAAGTATTTATAAATAGATTTTTTCCAACAGTTCCCTCATTAGACTTTCAGGGAGTATGATCTTCAGTCCCCCACCAAGCATCCTTGATCTTTTCCGAGTTTGTTAATTTAGTCAGCTACTCATCTCCTTCTGTATACTGTGGGGACTAGCCCAAATTATGATACTTTTGAGGCCACAAGCCAAGTATTTCTTCTTTCTCTGCTTGTTTGTCAGCCATACCTGCTTTATGATTTCCCACAGCTACAAAAGTAGCTCCAAATGGTGGGCCTTACAGTGCATGATCACTATTTGTTTTGGCAAATTCACAGCTTCCAGCAATTTTCCTACCAGATTTCCCTATTTTATAGGAGTTCCTTGTGCTGATAAAAGGCCTCTTTCTTTCCATAATGCCCTGTGTGCATGGATCACTCCAAGTCCATATTTAGAATCAGTCCCAATATTAACAGCTTTAGCAGCTGAAGTTTCCCAGGCTCTTGCTAAGGCTATTAATTCTGCCTTTTGAGCAGAGGTGCCAGCTGGTAGTATCCTGCCTTCCTTTTGCCACAATCCACAAAACTACTCCCATGCACAAAATCCTATCCACTGACCTCAGGGGTATATCCTTCAAATCAGCTTGACTAGTATACACTTGTTCAATTGTTGTCAAACAGTCATGTTTCAATTCTGTTTCTCCTGGCAATGGTAGCAATGTGGCAGGGTTCAGTACTGAGGTTATTTTTACTTCTATGTCATCCTGTTCTAACAGGATTGCCTGGTATTTCATCATTCTGCTTGGAGACAACCAGTGCCCCCCTTTTTCCTCCACTAAGGTTGTTACTGCATACAGTACTTGAACAACTAACTTCTGCCCCAAAGTTAATCTTCTTGCTTCTTGTATAACCATTATTGAAGCTGCAATCACCCATAAAGAAGGCGGCCAACCTTTACTTGATCCAGTTGTTTAGGAAAATATCCTACCAGTCCCCTCCAGGATCCAGTCTTTTGAATCAATGCTCTGAGCACAGTATGTTGTCTTTCATGAACAAACAGCTAGACAGGTTTTTCCGAACTGGGTAATCCTAGAGCTGGGGCTGCCATTAAAGCCTGTGTCAGCTGAATGAACAACGATTGACATTCTGGAGTCCACTGAAGGGAGATTCCCAGGTCCTTTTATAGCCTCATAGAGTAGTTTAGCTATCAATTCAAAATTAATTATCCACAGGCGACACCATCCGGCCATTCTGAGGAATGCTCTTAATTCCTCTTCAGAAGCTGGCTCAGGTGACAAATTGCTTCCTTCCATTCTACTCCCAGGCTCTGTTCTCCTTGAGTGATAAGTAAAACTTAGATACTTAGAAACTGTTTGCATTATTTGAGCATTTTTCTCACTCAATATCAGACACTCACAGAAAATTCAAAAGATCGATCATATACTGCATACAGTCCATTCTTGTCTGGGAACTTAAAAGAATGTCATCTACGTATCGTAACAAATTGACATTTCCTTTGTTTTCCTTCTGCCACGTTTCTAATTCCCTTGCCAATTGATTCCCAAAAATAGTTGGGCTATTTTTAAACCCCTGTGGCAGAACAGTCCAACATAATTGCATTTTCCAATCAGTAGTAGGGTTTTCCCACTCAAAAGCAAGTAGTCTCTGACTTTCTTCTTTTAGCAGGATACAAAAGAAAGCATCCTTTAAGTCCAAAACAGTAAATCACTGATCAGTGTCCCTTATAGCAGACAATAAGGTATAAGGATTGGCCACTACTGGATGTACATCTTGAACAATTTGATTAATGATAAGTCCTGAACTAGCCAGTGCTCATTACAGTGTGGTTTCTTCACCTGGAGAATGGGAGTATTATATTCAGATTGACACTCACTTAATAGTCCAATAAAATTTTCTATTAAGGCTTCAAGTCCTTTCCTTGCTTCCAACTTTACAAAATATTGTTTCTGTCTTACCAGTTTTGCTCCTGGCTTTAACACAATCTTCATTGGTTCAGCTAGTTTTGACCAACCTAGTACTCCAGATGCCCATACAAGAGGATTCACGGCATTCAGAACCTCTTCTGGTATTTTTGGAGTTTCTTCTGCTATTCCTTGCTGTTAAAAGAAAAACGTGCGCCTCCACTGCCTTTTCTTCAGGAATTTGCACACAGATGCGATTAACTTCAAACATGATTTGAGCATTCAATTTAATTAACAAGACTCTTCCCAATAAAGGCACAGGGCAACCAGGTACGTACAAAAATTCATGCATAAAATTCTGAGATCCATATCCACGTTTGATAGGTTGGAAAAATGGCCTGACTTCTCTACCCCCTGGGGCACCAACAGTAGATAAACTTTGCTTACTCAATTTACCTTTACACATGTTTAAAACTGAACATGCTGCACCAGTGTCAATTAGAAATTGTACTCTCTCATTCCCCTACTTCAGGGTAACCAGGGATTCCGTTGGGGAGATTTCCAAGTCAGCCCCCTGTCCCCATTAGGCCAAATTCTGATCCAAAGTCAACAATTCCGTTAGTTTAGGATTTTCACTAATCCTAGGGAGTCTTGTCTGCAATCTATTTTGCGGACACTCCCTCTTCCCATGTCCTTTTTGTTTGCAAACTGCATATTAATCTTTTTTGAGGACACTTTTTTCTCTCCCTTTGATTCTGACTTCCTCTATTCTCATTCCACTTTCTACCTCCTTGATTTCCTCTCTCTATTGCTGCTGGTATTAATCTGTTTCTCTTGAGTTGTTCTTTATTTTGTCTTTTCTTTTCCTCCTCCTCTCTATTACTATATACCCTCCAAGCTGCCTCTAGCAGTTTATTTATAGATCTCACATCTTCTCCTTTGTATTTCTGCAACTTCTCTCCAATATCCAGATAAGATTGTCCCACAAATAAAGACAGTCATTTTCTGCTTTTTCTGGATCTAGATCTGAGTATTTCCTGGCAGTCTCTCACAACTTTTCATAAAAGGCAGAAGGCATCTCACCTTTTCCTTGGACAACCTGAAAGATTTTTGCTAAATTTTTAAGTTTGGGGATTGCGTTCTTTACCCCAAATAAAATCAACCTTTGTTACTCTGTTAAAAGCAACCTTTGTACTCTATCATTTGAATTCCAATGAGGAATTGATTCTATTGGGAAATGATCATCCACTCTCCCTACCTGCACATTCTGTACATATACTTTCTCCACCTCTTCTTCAACTTTCGCTATTATCATTTGCTCTCTTCATGTGTAAAAAGAGTATTTAGGACAACCTGCACATCTTTCCAATCTGGATCATGATTTTCAATAATAGTATCTAATGCCTGAGCTTCCCTCTGCGGATATTCCCTGCAGGTGCCTGCTATCTCCTTCCAGGCTCTCAGATCTGCTACCAAGAAAAGAACTTTTACCCATACCAGCTCTGCAGAGGGCCCTACTGCCTGTCTTGCAGGTGCCCGCAGGACGGCTCCTCCTCCTCTAGTACAACTGGCTACAGGACTATAATAATCTTCACTCCCAGATGCTGTCTCCACTTCTCCAATAGGGTCTCTCTCTTCCCTCACTTCCACACCTTCGTCCTGAACATCAGGTGGCCACTATGGGGCCGGCAGTCCCCATGAGGCTGCTAGTAACTGAACATCCTCCTCTTTCTCAGTATCCTTATACTTATTACACCATTTCCCAGTACTGCAGGCTGAGCAGCAATGCTTTAGCATTTTTAATTTTCCATTTTCTTGTTCCAAAGCCAATACTTCCATATCATTAACAATTAATCCACAATCCTTGCCACTCACATAGTGATTTCTGAGAGTAAACAACAAATCAACATATGGTATTTCATCCCATTTTCCTTCCCATCTACAAACCAACCTTAATTGCAATATAGTATTACAATTCATTGTTCCATTCTTTGGCCATTTTTCATGTTGTCTAACATATACACTGGCCACCATTGATTACGATATTTAACCAACATTTTCCAAGTTAATGGACTGCCTCCAAACTTTAACTAGTGTTTCAATATACAACCCAAAGAGAAGGCTTTTACAATGCTTCCTTAAGAAAATTATATTCCATTTCCCATAACCCTTATGTCTACCTGCTTCAGTTGTTACCGTACAAATGCAGGAGAACTTGAGTAGCTGTAGAAAACAACCTTTTCTTATAATCCACCAACACGTACTTTTTCTAGCACAATTTACTTGGGGATTTCTTTTATTGAGCAATGTCTCAACTTGCTTACGGTCAAGTACTCGCCACCCCTGCCAGGAAATCACTAGGGAAGTCCCCAGAGGAACCATCCAGTGTGTGCTGGAGTTCCACTTGTGATTCCTGGCGGCGGGGAAAGTCAGCCAGACTTCAAGTCTCACTGTTGGCAGGGTCCCATCTGGGTCACCAAAAAAACTGCTACCTAAAATAAAGACTCTCAAAACCAAGATTAGTTTAGAGAGGAGATATTGCTTTATTCTGCACAAGGTGCTAGGTGGAAAACATCCACAAATTAAGCACACCATACAAAAAATTTTCAAAGTATTTATACACTCCAAACTACATGATTACATATTTACTATAATGATTATTGGTTGTTTACTTATCACCTCTATCCCGCATTGGTTAGTAATGTGCTCGCCCTGATTTAAAGTTACAGTGGGTTTTTAATTTTCTGTGCAAGCTCAAAAGGTGAGGGTCTTTATTCAGGCAGGGGTCTTCAAAGCATGGGCATGATTTTTACTATTATAATGAGGATAGTTCTTCCAAAGGACACTTTAATCTCTAATTAAACTGACTTATACTAAACAATTTTAACAAGCTTCCATGTTCAAGGATGTCTCTCCTCTTCAAGGATGGTAGCTCCTGATTATAAGTTCCTTACTAATTACTGTTGATGATTTGAAGAACAGACTGACCTAGCTGATGTGTCCAATCTGTCCTTGTATTTGATGGGAAACATTTGTATGGACATTAATACATAATATGTATCCTTGGGTGCAATGAGAAACAGTTGTGCAGCCTACAACATGCGATAAGAAACAGTTGTACAGCCTACAACATGTGATAAGAAACAGTTGTACAGCCTACAGTTTCCTGGTAAACATTACATTCCTCCCCATGAATAGCAAGCACACAAAATTTAATCAACTCTGAACAAGGCCTCTTCTTCAGGGTAGCAAGGACAAAAACCTTTATTTAAATACACACTTAAATAATTTAATAAAGTAGAACTGCTTTCTATAATGAGGTCTGGATTCCTAGAAAGCCTGTACCGCCCATTTGTGTTAAACCTGTTCATGATGCAAGCTGCTGTATAGTTGGAAATTTGCTGTTCATTTGTCTTTCAGAGCTTAAAATAGCGTATTTGACAAAGGTTTTTACTCTCATTTAACTCTATAAACATACAGTTTCAAAGTAAAGCTTCAGGAATTTGGAAGAAGACCCTTAAATAAAAGAAGAATTACTTTTGTCAAAATGCAGCAGCAAGTCCTAAGCAGTGAATAAAAGCAGGAAAGTAGTATCGTAACACTGTATTTTGTATGGCTTTCAGCTCTTTTTCTGAGCCACTGTTGCATCACAAGAACACAAAAATAGTACCGGTACTGTTTCAGTCTACATAAGACACACAGTAAAGAATAAACTGTCTACAACCACTGCCTGTCATGAACTGTTAGGAATTTAAATGTAACTTCAGGGGGAAAAAAAGGTGTTACAACTTCAAAGTAGTTTTTTAAAACTTCAAAACAGTATTTCAAACAGAATTTATATGCTGTCAGGGTGTTAGAAAACAGAAAGGCTCGTTCTGAAAAACAACAAATACTGTAACCCCCGCCCTACAAGTGGTCTTTTGTAAATACATAGCAAATCCAAAATTTCCTGGACACCAGATGTACTTTTCACATTCTCCGAGATGGATGCTAACACAGTGTCTCTGTATTCAGCCTACTCTCTGCCTAAATGTGTAACAGCAGGAAAAAGTTGCAGACAGACAGTAGCAGTTTCAAAATAATCAATGAGGCCTGCCCCCAGCATCATTTTTCCAGCCACTGACTAGACTAAGACAAGAAAGAGCTGAGTTAACGGTCATGGTGGCAACTACAGCCACTCCTGATTGCCACTGTCCTGGGGAAGTCCCGTGACCCTCCCCACAACAGGACTAGTTACACCCCTCAGATGCTTACTGGACTGAAGTGCAATAGTCTATTAGAGCTTCCTGCACATTAGAAACACTCATGGTTACTAAAGTTAGTAACAATATGCAATATTTTAGAAAAGATTGCATAGATTTGAGAAATACCCAAATCAGCAAGAATTTGCTTTCAATATTTAACTTATATCCAGTTATTAATTTTTAGCGAGGATAATAAAAAGGTACAAGGCCCATGACATAACTTACTCAAGCCCATATATTAATCTGTAGAAAGATGCCTGCATTCTCATCTGGTGCTGAGCTAATTCATGCTGCTAAGTGAGCCCAAAATAACCAGTACAAAAGAACCAAGGGTATCCGTGATTTACACCCTGACCTTTTTCAAGGTGTCATTTTTCAATCCAACCGATATATCTTTACAACTGCATATAGATCTTAGTATTTTATGACCTAAGCTGTGATTAGCTACTAAAATACATTATGCAAGTAGACAGAAATACAGTAAGGAAGAGGCATTACCTGAAGAGAATCATTGCAATCCGACACGGAGGACAAGCAAGAAGAAAAATCTGAAATGTTAGAAACAAATTTAAATTAATAATATGATCTCTTTTAGACTCCATCTTCTGTATCTTTCTTTCCCAGTTCTGTACGTCACAATTTCTAACTAGAAGAACCGTTTTAAAGCAGAGCTAAAAAAGACTAAAAATCTTGAACAAATTAAAAGGTCTTGCATTACCTACGTATAAAAGGATTTAAGCAGTATGAACAGGATCTAGGGTTTGTCTTCTGACAGTGCCTAAGAAACAAGACAAATTCTAGCCTTTTTGATGTTGTAGTTACAAAAGGTCTCTCAAAGCTGTACTGCCCATCATATTGCTCCCTTAGCCATCAATCATAAGATCCTTGCCGTGCTAAAGACCAAGCGTTACAATGACAATACTTCATGTCACTTCAGCAGTGCAGGACCCAGGTCCTGAAGATCTCATGCAAGATGACTGCCTATAAAAGCCTCTTAATACTTCCCAAAATAAGCCTACCATACTATCTGCTCTGTGCATAAGCTTACTAGACATCTTTATATATGTTCATTGCCACACTCAAAGTATTTTTAAGATACTGTAAAAATTTCACCAGTTATTAGCTAGCTGTTCCACAATATCAAAAGTAACAATATATTGTTTCTCTTTACAGGCCATATTCCTACGATAAATAGGACCTGATTTAACTTTTTATGTAATAAAGTATTGTTGCTTTGCAACAATGCTGCATCTAGAGGATAACCATTATCTTTTGATACTGCTGTCCAAAACCTCTCACAGCAACTTGAAAACTTTGTATCAGCAAGTCTTGCTCTAGATACAAAGAGATTACTACATAAGTGTCCAGTGATAAAAATCCCATTTTTTTTATATCATCCACTATGACAAAGAGGAGACTTTGGCCTACTGCCCAGTAAGTATTTCAGAAAAAAATGGATGACACTTTTTACTGCTGTTGTAATAATAAATTTATATTATATAAATAAATGATACAATTTTTTTCTTTTTATTTCCTACACTTACAAACCCAGATTGACCCTTTTCTCTATATGCACAAAATAATCAAACCAGAAATATGTTTAATCACACTCCAACTACCACACGGCAAAGCAAAAACCACAATATGACATGGTATACTGTCTGAATCTCACCACTGAGGATAAAAAAAAACAGCTAGTATTAAAAAAGGATAGCATTGTTAGAAAGACTGAGATGGACACGCCAATCTGAAATACTTCACTACCACGGAGACAGGCAAAGAAAAAAACAAATTCACAGCTGCTTATTTATGTCAACTCTACAGCAAGAAACAGTTTCAGGAACTGATGATGGAAAAATAAATATTTAATATTTTTAAGCATGCAAATCCCTCTGTTACAAGGGATCTTTTAGAAAATAAGCCTGACTCCCATTTTTTAAATGACAGCAGAGAAATCATAACTGTAATGTTATGTTAAAACTTTATGATAATGGAATAGATCTTCAAATGTTTCAGCTTTAGCAGTAATATCAAGCACATTATCTCTAAATATGTATATACTTTCTGTGATAAATAAACCTCAGCTTCTTAAAAGGGGTGTTTTACAAGACACCCTTGTATCTGATTTTCAAAGAACTGCATCACTGAGTAGATTCAAACACTATAAAAAGTGTCGTCATTCAGCTCAGAGTAATTAGCAGTCTTAAAATACCTAGTTCACAGCAGACAACCTCACAGGCTCTAACACACAAGTGGTCACATACTTATCCCATAATCATATTACATTTCACTGTCATACTGGAAATAAAATCGTCTGCCTTGTAGGAAGAAAAAGCTATGTTTTATAAACCAAATAATATCATATTAAATTATCTGCATGGCTAATTTAGTGAAGAGTTCCCAGCCTCTGTTTTCCTGCTGGAATGGTTTTACGCACTGAGGCTAGCACAGATGTTAGCTCCCTACCGTGGGCACACTGCTGAGTCTGAGCGTGAACAGGGCAGCATATATTTTAAAGCACATGGAAGTAGGCTTCTCCTTGTTCAAGGCAGAATAGCTAAACATTCTGTTTAGAAGAAGCACTAAGAAATAACTTCGATGTCCCTCCTTATTCTGTCAGATCTCTTACCTGTTACATTTTCACGTTACAAATTAAAAGAAAGAGAAAAGAATTAACTAGAAATCCAAACTATACAAAAGTAACTATCTGAGGAGGGGAAAAATAAGCTACAGAACATACATTGTCTGTTAGGCTGAATTCTGGACACAGTTCTGATTATTCCTTTCCCCCTTAACCTCTCTCTCAAACAAAAAAGCAGATTACAAAAAGGGTTAGAGAGGTCAAGAAGTACAATCAAAAAGTACTGAACATCTTCCATACATGGATTGATTTAACACTTTAAGACTATTCAATCTACAAAAGGTTAATCTGTAGGCCAATGACAGTGAGAGGAAGTGACGGTACAAAATCCTGAGTGGCTCTGAGGAAATATATAGGTAAAAGGTCCTAGGTAGGGACACTATTGTCAGTCAGGGCGTCCAAGTCTTTTTTGCCAGCACAGGACCAGAAGATTCTACAACTGTTCTCAGGTAATAAATTGCAAAGAAACTCGTAACATTAGTCAATCTGCAAACTGAAATTCATTTCAACCTTGAGGACACCAGTGAAAAGAAAAATCAGAAATTCTGTCAATATATTTCATAACTGCTCTGCAAGATCATAAATACCATTGTCCATCACCACGGGAAATATTTCTGGCATGAAGAACTGCACGGCCAGCACTCCCCTGCATAAGCCCAAATACAAAGGTCATACCAGAACACATGATGGATCAGCAGGGCTGTTACAATTTGGAGACTGTACAGGATTGCACCGCTTAACCATTTCTTCACTGAGACAAGATCTTAAAGAGACTGAACTCAAAGTTACTCTGAACTAACCCAGGACTGGGCTGCAAATCAATCTCTTCCACAATCCCTTCTTCTAACCACACACTAAGCAGAAGAGAAAGCTCCAAATGCTATCTACAGGTCTGGGACAGACTAGAAGGATGAAGGAAAAGGATGGTATTTTTCCACGTGTAGTAGTATGCTTTTAAAAATTTTCTAAAAGAAACACTGCAACCCTGTCATTCAGTATCTGATGGAGATTCCAGGAAATACCTTTTGAGTCCAGTAAACTTGTAAAGAACATTATTTCCTTAAATCTGATTGTATTAGTCATTTGTGTCAGTGTAGCAGGTAGAAGAGCCTGTATGTAAAAGGACTATTCTAAAGACAATAAGGCAACATTGCATTAGTTTATTCCGACAGATTGCAATAGGTCGATATCACCAAGTATTACACTGGCCCTCCACAAATCTCTGTTAAGTTTGCTCCCCTTAAGAAAGCACAGCCAAACAAGGGAAAATGTTACTGTTGAAAAGGAACTGGGTAGCTGGAAAACAACAGATCATTTTTCATAAATTCACTTTTAGAAGTCAGAATTTAGAAAAAAACCTACTCTTTGGCATTGTAATGATGTCTCTAGGTAAAAGTCAAACTCACATGAACGGAAACAAGGCTAAGTATCAACGAAAATAAGCTGGTATTTTGCAGCAAGCTAGTTTTTTTAATTGATTATACCTGTTTTCCTAGTGCCAAAATATGGCAGGAATAGGTACCCAAATTTCTTAAGTGTGGAAAAAAAATCCAATACTGAAACAAACGCCCAAAAATCCACAAGACTGCAACACCATGAAACCAAAAAGAACTATGTTAACTTTAATGTGACCTCCCTTTAATACAATCCAGTTTCCCAATATCTATGCACTGTGTTAACTCATAATAGTATTTTCCCTTCTTGTGCTTCAAGCATTACATGTGATGCAATTATCACATTAATTTGGCAATATCAGAGGTTTCTATTATTTGATATTTTTTTAAGTTCGTATGGAATTTTATTCAAACAACCTCTTCTACAGTTTGCAGATCTAGACTTCAGCAACAGGCAAGTGCATCAGTATAGAGGTGGAAAAAGGTAAAGAACCTCAAACATACATGGTTTCCTATTTTCCATTTAACTCTATGGCTAGATTGAAAACGGTACAAAAGGAAAAGGTTTTTGTTGATGTACAATTGTGTCTTTTTAATCTAGCGGTGCCTCTACAGTACCTTTGTTATGGATTACTTTTTTCAGGGGGGAGAGGTCGAGATGAGCAGATTTTACTAAATCTGCCTTATTATAAACCCAACATACTCAAATATTGAGAAACTCAAACTTTAACATACAGTCCCAAATATATCACTGAGTTACTACCTATAGTGGGTAAAATCTACTATACTAGAACACCTTCAGGCATATTACCCAGCCTGTCATTATGAGGTGTGACTTGCCTAAAATAGATATCCTAATAACAGTTGATTAAATACCTAAAATGAGAGGCTGTGGTACATGCTAGAGTTACATCTAAGAAAATTCTCACTGGTAAGGATGTATGTTATGTTACAGGTTTCAAAAGCTTTTGAGACCATTACCATAAAATAATTTCTGCCAGCTGCAGATTCTCATTTGTCTAGTATTTCCTAGTTTGTTTGTCATGTAAGCATGCCACATTTCACCACTAGTTTTAGTAACTGACATTTCAAAAAAAAACCAAAAAACAAGACTAGCAAAAATCTCAAGAGCTCCTCTCAAAAGATATACAAGATATTTGTTCAAAAGGTCGTGACTGAAGGGTATAACAGGAATACTGTCTCTGAACTGAAGTGGAACACCTCTTCAAGTATCTAAGCCTGGATACCATTCTATTCGTTGACGTTATTGCCTCACTCCATGAGAACTCTGGAGAGGGAGAGCTCACTAATTTTTTTGTTGTTGTTGTCCTATGACTTGGCTGGATCTCCAGGTTTTTTTTTATTCTAAAACATTCCAAACTTCTCCAAAATATTACATTTAAGAGCTTGCTTCAAAAGTATTTTAATGATGCTATTTTTCAGTTCACACACTGAGGCAGAGAGTAAAGTCAAAACTTGTCATGAAAGGCTTTTCTTCTACCAGTCTTAGTCC